AGATGATAGTGATCCTAATTATCATTGTGGTATGGGGATTGAGAGAAGTAGATCAATTTGTTACGTTCATCAGTTCTTTCAGAGTAATGCAAAATCATAACCATTCATATGTAATGTACTGGTATAAAGTCAGTTGAGAAATATTTGTGGATTAAAAACCATACACTAAAGACAAAAAAATGAGGTGGAAGGAGTATTAATATGGAAGGCAGAAGACACAGGGCAGTTTATTGACGATAGGACATGATGTTGAGCTGAATGGGAGTAAGAATAAGATGAAGAGGGAAGGAAGTAGGTTGTAGCAGGCAGAATATAGGGAAAACATAATGCTACCTATCAAAGAAACAGGAAGTTGTTCAGAAGTAACTAATACCAGGGGCTTGTTTCTTCTCTTGTAAATAGGGACGGTCCATGCCACCCATAATGTTATAAGGTGGTAGTATATAGTACATCATGTGTAAATTTTTTTTCTTTTTATTGCACTTTAGATGAAGGTTTACAGAAGAAATAGTTTCTCTTTAAACAGTACACATATTGTTTAATGACAGTGGTTAACAACCCCATGACACATCAACACTGTTCCTTCTCAACCTTGGGTTCTCTATTACCAGCTTTTCTGTCCCCTCCTACCTTCTAGTCCTTGTCCCTGGACTGTTGTGTCCCATTAGTCTTGTTTTGTTTTATGGGGCTGTCTAATCTTTGGCTGAAGGGTGAACCTCGGGAGTGACTTCATTACTGAGCTAAAAGGTCCCCTGGGAGCCATACTTGGGGTTTCTCCAGGGTCTGTCAGGCTAGTAAGTCTGGTTTTTTTTTTTGTGAGTTAGAATTTTGTTCTACATTTTTTTCCAGCTCTGTCCGGGACGCTCTGTTGTGATCCCTGTCAGAGCAGTTGGTGGTAGCCGGGCACCATCTAGTTATACTGGACTCAGTCTGGTAGAGGCCATGGTAGCTGTGGTCCATTAGTCCTTTGGACTAATCTTTCCCTTGTATCTTGCTGTTTTCATTCTCCCTTACTCCTGACGGGGTGAGACCGGTGGAGTATGTTAGATGGCTGCTTACAGGCTTTTAAGACCCCAGCATGCGTAACTTTTTTATAGCATAAATGATAGACACTAAGAGATCTTTGATTTCTACTTGAGCGTCTCAAAACCACATCAAACTTTCTGTTTGCAAAAATTGGTGATAATTTGTGTATGTAGAGGCTTAGGTAAAAAGTAAAGAGAATGAGGTGGATGGTAGGAAGGAGGTGTCTTAAGGCCTCTAGAGTTTTTTTTTTTTCTTTTTTGTGTATAGGTAGTCCCTGACTTAAGATGGGGCTCTGTTCCAATGGCTGTGTCGTAAGTCAGTTCTGATGTAAGTTGAATACTTCTTTTTTTTTTTTAGTTTCCATTATTGTCACCTTTTATTATCATTGTATTTATAAATTCAATCTTTATTTGTGTTTGGGGGTTGGCATGAGAATGATAGTATCAGCAAATTATGCGCTGCAACATTATATGTAGTATCTATGACTAATGATAAGATGTACCAAAAAAAAAAAAACATGGACGATCATAAGTGTAGTTCGTCATAACTCAGATATGTCATAATTGGGGACTATTGTATAATGAAAACTGCTTTCTATCTTACTTCTGAGTGTACTTATATTTTCTTAGTGCTTCTTAGGAAAGGGGTTTGATCTGTCTTCTCATTTCACTTATTACCTGTATAGGTGACTCCCACATATATAGTTCTAAACGTGCATTCTAATTCTAGTTCTTATTTATTGTTTATTGAACATCTCTAAAGGAGCTGTCTTGCTAATTCCAAAAACAAAATATAGGTAAAACTGAAGCTTTGCTTATTGTTATTATTTTTAACATCTTGAGCACTATAATCTCAGAGTTTGAAATCGTCATCTTCTATACACTTGCTTTCATAGTCTACATTGATGATATTTAAGACATGTACCAGGCTCCTTACTCTTTGGCATTTAACCTTGTGTCTGCTCTCAAACTTTTGCTTGTCTAGTCTGCGATAGTATTATTCATTTTTGTTAAACTTTGTTTTCTGTTCAACTTTTCCTTTGCAGTATCAAAGACTAGACTCTCAACTGTTTACCTAACTGATTTTTAAGATTCTCCATCAGGGCTTTGCTGTGAACCCCACAACTGACATTTTAAACCACATAAGAATCAATGCTGTGTGCTTCAAACCCTTCATGTTTGCATTATATTCCTCATATGACTAACCCTTTCAACCTCTGAGCAAAGAATACTTCCCTGCTCAAATCAGGAATCCAGAAAGGTTTATGATGTTGGGCCATGTTCAGGGAGAGGGCATATTCAGGTTGGAAACATGAAGTGTTGGGGAGAATAATATGACAAGACAGAATAATACATGGTATTGGTGTTCCATCCTGGTGCAGCTTTGCTTTAGGATTAGTTCCAGCATCTAGCCCTGGGGCATTCGTCCCTTTTCTTTCTTTCTTCTACATCTAGTCAAACACCAAATTTAATAGTGAAGGATCTACAGAGACCCAGAACTTTGAAAGGTCTAAGAGGGCCCAGGGATGTCACTGCCCAACTCACAAAACTTGGCTGCAGTGTGCAGCAGCCCTGCCTGATTTGGTCTAGAATTGTTTCCAGGACCTCCTTCAGACATACCTGGACCTTGGGGAGTGATGGTTTATTCTGAATATTTGGGTGGATTGTGTGGTTTAGACTAATGATGGATACCTTAAGGAAGGTGTTGGGAGGGGTTATAGTAGAAATGACAAGGTATGTTTTAAGTGACTTCACAGGGTAGGGGTAGTATGCCTGCAAATCTAGGATGGCATTGAGCTTTCCTTGTACGTTTGAGAAGAGCCAATATCCAAGGGATTAGAAGGAAGTACATACTTGGTGTTCTGCAGGGTCTTGTGTATGTGTGTGTGTCTACACAAACACCTGTATGTGTAGATACATACAGTGGTAGAGGGAATTTGTTAATTTGATTAGGTTCTATAATTAGAGCCTTTAGGGAAGTGGGCATGGTAGGTCTTGAGTTATGAGCGACTCAAATGAATTGTTAGAGAATATTTAGAAAGATCATTTTCGTGTTACTAGGGGCATACTTAGGAGATGGGTTTTTCCGTGATTATTGTGGCTTTCTGGAATAGGTTCCCAAAACTTGAGAGAAAGTTGGGGCAGATTTCTGTGGTAAGTTGGAAAGTGTTAACTTTGAGGGAAGAAACAAGAACAATGCAGTGTTTGAGAAGGTTATTTATGAATTGATTTGGTAGGAGCTGATAATTATAAAGTTGTAGAGAGGTTTTGAATAAGGTAAGTGGAAGATGTCATGGAAGGAATTTGTGAGGAAGTAATAAACTATTAGAAAAGTAAAGTTCAAAAGAGTAAAATTGGAAACATGGTTTAGAAATCAATCTGGGTTGGGAGAAACGCAGCCCTTAGGTTAAAAACAGGAAGGCAGGGGGAAGCTAAGATAAGTAAATTAAGGTGTAAAGAAACAGAAAGGAAGGATTTAAGAGGTTACTGAGAGATTTCCGAAGGTTTTTGATGGGTGAAAAGGAGTTTTAAGACAGGGTGTGTTGTGGGGTGGTGTGTTGGATAGTAGTTGTGATCACTGGTTCAGTAAGGGAAGGGACTTAAAGGGCCATAGTTTATAGGGTTTTTTTTTTT